AGGATTTTATGCTGATAGCCCCTAGCCTTGGAACAGTCGTGAAGGGCAGGCAGGTGGCCGGGAGGGGGCAGCAGAATCTAGGACAGACCCTGGCTCAGGCCAGGGAGGAGCAAAGGCCACTGACTGGGGTCGGATGTGGGGCAGGAACTCAGGAAGAGTGACCAAGACTGAGATGAATATAGGGATGGAGTTGATCGTAGAGAAAGACACATAGACAGGGATAGAGATACAAAGAGACAGACCAGATGGGGTTAGACACAGAGGGACATGGGGAGAAAGGTAAAGACAAAGAGATGGACCAGGCAGAGATACTAAGAAAAGGAAGGAGTCAGAGGGCAAGAGATAGATAAAGAGGGAAAAATAACACAAAAGACAGAGGAGGAAGGGGACAGAGACAGACAGAGATACAAAGATTGGGACTAGGAGGATAGAGAGAGGGCTCATTGGTTAAGAGTGCCTACTGCTGCTCTTCCAGAGGATCTGAGTTCATTTCCTGCCATCCATGCTAGGCAGTTCACAACTGCCTATAACTCCAGCTCCAGAGGGTTTGACTCCACAGACAGTCCTCCACATATATACACTTAATTAAAATAGAATAAATCTCGAGGGAAAAAAGAAAGACTGGGGCCAGGACAAAGACTTATCCAAAGGATAGAGACAATTATAGAGACAGAAGCCAGGTCAGAGAGAAGGGTGAAAGGACCTAGCATTTTAAGCATACAATAACCATACTGACAGAAGAAATCCTGTGGCCAGGTTGCTGATAGATCAAGACATAGAGGGTACCCCATTCCTACTGCACTTTGGGGGAGCAAACAGAACTAATGGACTGGAAGGCTAGGCTGCTGCTACACAGACTGCAGATCTGACCCCTGCTTCCCTGGCCCTTAGAAATGTTCTGACTCTTGAGTTCTGTTCCAGCTCCAGGCATATCCCAGGCCCTCTAGAACTACCCTTGCAAAGGGCTGTGGAGAGATAGTGCTCAAGGGAGGCAGCGCTGCCAGCAGCCAAGACCCTCCATGGTGAATTTTCTCTGAGGTTAAAGAGTGAGTGAAGACTGGCAAGGAGAGACAACCATCCCTAGTGTCAATGACACTGACCCTAAGGGCTTAGGACAACACTGACCCCTTGCAGTTGGGGGTAGAGAGATACCCCAGTGCTCTCCTCCATCAGCTTCCAAGGCTTCAGCAGGCTCCCCCTCCTTGTTCTGCCCCCTCCTTCCCAGGCCCAACATAATTGCTTTCCCATGTTGCTAATGGGGGCCAGATTGCTGATGCCCAAGCCCTGGGTGGGCGGTGGGTGGGTCAGGGCTGACCAAGGCTCTCAAGTCAGAAAGGCAGCACAAGCCAGAGACCCTCTAACTTCAGCCCACCCACCTTAAAGATAGGCAAAGTTCTAACACACTGCAAGAATATGATGTTCTTGGCAAAAGAGCTGGTAACCCCTGATCTCTCTATAACCCAGCTGGACCTAGAATGCAGACTCCAGCCTGAGCCACACCTCACCAAGCCCAAACCAACAGGCAGAATTGGGAGTTGAGGAAGCAGATACAGGTCCACAGCTACTTCTCAGGATGGCCACTCTGAGAGTCTCTTTGTGTGCTCAAGGAGGCACAGTTCCCATTGTTTGAAAAGCCACGGGTTAGCCAGGTATAGTGGCGCATGCCTTTATTCCCAGAACTTGGGAGGCAGAGACAGGTGAATCTCTGTGAGTTTGAGGCCAGCCTGGTCTACATAATTGAGCTCTAGGGCACCCAGAACTGTATAGAAAGGTCCTTATTAAAAACAAGCAAGTAAGCAAACAAACAGAAAAGCCACAGGTCGCCCTGTGTCGGGTCTTTTCTATCCACAAGTCTCTATTTGAAACATTCTCTCTCCTCCAGCCAGGAGACAGGCAACTTCCTCTACTCTGCAGTTCCTCTCCTGGGATTAACTTAGTCTGTACCTTGTCTAAGCCTGATGCACCAATGCCCTAGGTCCTGTGATCTTCTCCCAAGGCATGGTCCCAAGTGTGTGGTCTGAGGAGAAGGGTGAGGTTGTGGCACCATCAGGGGGATTCTTTGTGGTATCTAGCACTGGCTATGGGGAGTGTGGACTAGACACACTGGTGGCTTTGATGACACCTCCCCTTACTCTAGGCACACAGAACAGCCTGGCTTCCAGGCTAGGACTCTGGTCTCTTTCTACCCTACCTCAGAAGTCTGTTAACCTGACTCTAGCTCTGGGTATTTCCAGAAAAGGTGCTTTGGTAAGGTGGTTTCTATGAGAACTTGGGTCTCTCTCTACATGCCACTAGCTGTCCTGAAACTATGTAGACTAGGCTTGCCTCAAACTCACAGAGATCTTCCTGCCTCTGCCTCCTGGGTACTGGGACTAGAAGAATGTGCCACCACATCTAGCTGGAATTGGAGCTTGAACGTCTATGGGGCAGCCAGAAGTCAGAGGGAACTTAGACCTGTCTAGGGACTGGAAAAGCCCAGAACCTCCTAAGTATACCCTGAGTACTACATATATAATCTAAATCTGAGGCTTAATCCTGTACAATTCCAGTTCTGAAGTCTGGGTCCAATCCCTATGCATGTGCTGGTGGCCATGTCAGAGGAGCAGCAGATGGCAGTTGGCTTCAGGAAGCAAATCCCTGATGGGTGACTCTCAGATAGGCAAGATCCCAAGACTACACACTTCAGAATGTCTTTTGCGTCTGCTGTACCTTTACATGTTTGCTACTGTCATCTTTCTCTGGTGTGTGGTATGGTGTGCATGCATGTGGGCAGACCCCTACTGCCTGTACTGTAGTGTGTTCATCTCATGAATACACCCCATTCTACTGGGCATTTTTACCTGTGGATTATTATGAAGATGATTTCTTCCTAAACTCTACTGTCTAACTGGTAATAATAATGTTAGTTTAGAGTTTTGATGATAAAAAATAAAACGAGGAAGTGTCACGCAGTTAAAACACATAAGTTTCCATTGAGAAGCCGTATAGACTGTGGCTTAGGTTAATGATTTAAGAAAAACAACTTAGCCACCAAAATAGCCCAGCTACCTTAAATTCTATTAACCTTAATGTTGCGAGAGGTGTTCACAGGTTTCAGAGTGCATCATAGCTGAACAAAGCTTTGAAAATAACTTAAAGTTACACTAAGATATTTTTGTCAAATAGTGTTGAGATGATAAACCTAAGAAGACAATCTAAAATTTTAGAAAGACTGGATGAATGAGGAACTCGTTAAGGTCAGGGAACAAGAACAAAGCAGCCCAGTTATCATTGGCTGATGTGCCTTCTTGCTAGGATTGGTTGATGATGGAAGATGATGATTAATTCCTGCCCTCAATCTCCTGATATAAAAAACTACTGATGAGTGAGTATGCACCCTAAAGATTTAAGTAGAGCTGATGGATTGTTTTCATGTATAAAAGTTTAGGTTTGTGATTCATAAGGTTCCTTATAAGATTACTGTTCAAGGTAAGTAATAATGTGATTCTTTCTTTGTAACCAAAATATGCAGTCTGCCAGTGGGGGGAAAAATGGTTGAGCCAGGAGGTGGTGGTGCATGTCTTTAATCCCAGCACTCGGGAGGCAGAGGCAGGCGGATCTCTGTGAGTTCGAGGCCAGCCTGGTCTCCAGAGCGAGTGCCAGGACAGGCTCCAAAGCTACAGAGAAACCCTGTCTTGAAACAAACGAACAGACAAACAAAAAATGGCTGAGAAAAATACCCTGCTTGTTCATACTCTGTTAATCTGTAACAAGTTATTTAGATGTAAATGTATGTGGGTTATTGGGATGACTTTGTTTTAATAATGTAAGAGAGATGAAAAACATGTTTTTACCTGAAGGAAAACATCAAGAATGAGAGAAGGAAATCACTAGAATAGAGAATGCAAAAGAAGAACAAAGAAAAGGTCTGAGGAAAACCATCAAGAGTGTGTGTGTGTGTGTGTGTGTGTGTGTGTGTGTGTGTGTGTTCCTCCTAACCTCCTCAGATTAAAAAAAAAGTCACACTGTATGGACTCTGTGGATTCCTGTTGAGCCCTGTGCTTCTTGGGGCTGGTCCTTTAGGGAGTGGAACCCACACTCTCAGGAGCCTCTGCCTTCAGGCTGTCTTCTTGCTTGGCCAGGCCCAGGACTCTGAATCTCTGTGACCTGGCTGAATACCTGGTGATCCAACTAGACTATGCCTCCTGCCTGGGTACTCCTAGAAGGTAGCTCTGGGGATGACTCATAACAGCCAGCCAGAATGTCAGCAGCCTCTACTGGTACCCATGTGGGTCCAACTTGTACCTAGACCCATTTCCCACAAGTTTGCCCTTGGCTGCATACTCCAGGGAAGCCCAACCCCTTAAGAAGAGGCGCACACCATCCTAAATGACTGTGGCCTGGAAGCTGAACCCTTTTCCACCTTCTCCAACCAGGTTTCTCTCTCCTTCCATGCCTGCAGGGCACAGGTCCTGGAAAGAGCATTTCCCTCCCAAAGTGGTTCTGTTCCAAGGTCTCATGAAATGGTGACGTTTAATGAGAACCCCCTACCCCTCCCTCCCCTGTATATACATCTATAAAAAATTCATATACAGCAAGTTACCATTGAGTCAGACTAGAAGGGACTGACAGGACATTAAATACTGGGGTTAGGAAAGGGTCAATGGAGGAGCGTACAAAACGGGCAGAGGTGGAGGGACTGAAAAGTGTGGGCACTGGGGGGAGGGGATGGCTGGGCCCCCCCAGTGTCAGGAGCTTATAATCTGATGGTGGCAACAGAGACCCTGGGACAGACAGGAGGCTGGGGCAGGAGGAGGGAACTGTGGATATGGGGGGCTCCCCGCAGGTCCCCCAAGGGCTCCTGGGTGTCGCTGGCGTTGGAGGGTCCAGCCCGAGGGGGGCAAGATGATAGGGGTCTTTGGTGGGTGGGTTAGCTGCATGGTCCTCCTCCCTGGAGAGAAAGGAGAGCCGGCTTGGTGTGGTGGGGCTGGGGGACGGCAGGCCCGGGCCTGCCGGGGTCTCTACAAATTGTGTCTGAAGAGAATGCAAAAGGTCCTCCTGCCCGTGTGCAAAATAGAAGCCGGGGTCTGCAGGCTCAGCTCCGGCCTCCTCTGCAGGTGCTCTGGCATGTCCTCATAGGATGCCTGGCTTTGGGGAGACAGGCAGGGGAGGCTGTGAGGGCTGAGGCTGGGATGGAGGTCCCTAAGGGCCTCCTTCCCATTGTTGCCGGGCCTCACTCAACCTACCAGATCAGGAGATTGTTGGCTGTGGCAGCAGCGGCAGCCAGGGCCAGAATGACAGGGACACTGTTCAAGAAGGGTATCGAGGGTCCTCCGCCGCTGCCTAGCTCTCCAGGGTCACAGATCTTCGTGGTGGGTGGGGGTGCCAATGAGCTGGTGGTGCTGGTCGTGGTCTCTGGGGAGCATGGGGGAAACTCAGGGCAGGGCCAGGACTGGTCCCACCCAGAGCTGGGGTTTCATGAGGCACATTGTTCCTGCTTCCTGATCAGATTAGTGTTGCCTCTCCCATCCTGCTTCCCAAGGCTCGTAAGTGACCACTGCACCTGGTAATCCCTACTAACGACATCTAGAGAACAAGAACCAGGAACACAGGTGTCGGGCAGATGGGTGGATCTGTGACAGCCAGAGAGAGTGAGTCACATAGGCTCTGCTACTAGGAAGAGCTGGAGGGAGTATACACAGAGGACAGGACAGGGGGCAGGCAGGCTCACCGGGGGCCTGGGCTTCAGTGGTGAGATGTCGTGGTTCCTCTGTCCAGGGTGTGGCGTGAGCAGCCACGCTCCAGTCACTCCATGTCCCAATCTCGTTGTCCTTGGCTGCCACCTGGATGATGTACTCCTTCCCAGCGTAGGCATCGGTGATGGTGTGTGCTGTGCCATCTGACAGTTCCACCTGCAAGCCCAATCATAGGACAGAGTAAGAAGAGACACCCTTGGAGTCACAAATGAGTGTGTGTGTGTGTGTGTCCCTACTCCACCCCCGCCAAGGGAGGCAAGGATACATTTGGGGAGAGGGACATGGATGTATCCCTGGAGAAAGTGAGGGCTTCCTGTGGGGCTTCTGGCCACAATGAGTGGCCTTCACTTTCTATGGGAGAGTAAAGACATCAGGAAGAAGACCTAGGCGGGACCTCAGGCATGAAGGAGGCTAGAATACTCCCAGAATGACTCCGCTCAGTAGCCATGCTGCTGTTGTCCAAGATGCTGTGGTGCCAAGGGGAAGATTTAATGATGAGCAGAGTGGTGCTAGCCTACCACCTCTGGGGGAGCCATGGAGAAAAGGTCACAAGCACCAATGCTGGAGAGACGCCTAAGATAAAACTTTGCCTCCATCTCTTGGAAGCCAACCTCCATTGGCTTTGTGTCCCTATCTATAAACTGGTACTAATGGCCGTACCTACCTTAGAGTTATGAGGGCTAAGCCATGAGGAAAGTATCAATTAGACTTCAGCCAACACTGTCACTGTGGGTTTCAGCTCAGAGGTAGTGTACCTACCACCTAGCCCCAGCAGGGCCTCTCCCAGGAAAGCTCCCATGTGTTATCACTCTGCTTGAAGTAAGGGTGGGGACAACCCCTACGGTGACAGGATTGCTGCTCCATTTCCTCCTGGAGGCATGGCATCACCACCCAACCCCCGTTGGCTGGCCTCATCCTCTGGTTTCCCCTGGATTCTCCAGGGCTGCAGCCCTGCCCGGCGCCCCTCCCAGGCCCAG